ATATATATATATATATATTTAAAGTAAATATACATAAAATTAAAGGACATGTATAAACTTAGAAGTCTGGGAATAATAAATCTCATAAATTTATGTAAACAATAAATTTAGCTACCTGCTTGAGCAGAAGTTTAAACTACAGTAACCTCACAACAGAGTCTGTATGAGGTTACTATAGGACAGTCCAGTTCCTCTGCCTGCCTGTCTGTCTGTGGCCCTGGAATATTCTAAATGTTCTAAATGTGTGGGTGCAGGTGCGTGCGTGTGTTCACAAGCATGCAAGTGTGTTTTATTCACCCAGTCATCTGGCTAATCGAGCTTAGGCATTTATTCACGAGGGAATGAATCATTTCCTCAGACCCACACTTATTCGCTCAGACCTATAAAGAAAATGTCGGCACAGGCTGAAACACATGTGTTTTCATAAACACGGGTTAAGATACAGCTCTCTGTATGTTTGAGCGTTTTGACACCATTAAAATGTAAAAAAAAAACTGTTTCCTCTATGCGGTTGTGAAGCTCCACATTTACACAGAGCCTGAGAGCCTTTCAGTGCACTGACCCACATAAACAAAAAATACACAACAACCTTTATTTTGTGAACACGCACGCACGCAAGTTGCTGCATCTCGGTCAGATCTTTGCACATGAAAGAGCCGGAAGCAAAGTGACACCACTGTAGCTGCAGGCTCAGCTGCGAGGGGACCGTTTAAAATGGATGCAGACTTTTAGTCTCACTTTCTCTTTGTTTGAAATGAGCCTCAAATGTTTTGTTGATGTTAACGGGGCAGAATAAAAACTGGATCCTGTGAAATGGACAGCTTTACCTCCACAGTGTAAGCGTTTCTAAAACAACCAGGATCTGCGATGTGTTTATGTCTCACCCTGCCTGTAACTGTGTGTTTTATGTCACTGAGTGTGAACTCACTCACACGCGTCAGAACAAAGACGCTCTCCTTGTGGAGCCTGCGAAGGCTTGCTTACCAGGAAAATGACCGATAGTAACCTTTCTTTGTTCTCAAACCTTCCTCTGTTTTCGAGCCCATTCGCCACCTCCTCCTTTATTGCAGTCATTCGGGCACTTCTTTCTTTCTTGTTCTTTCCTTATTTCCCTCATATTCAACTCTTCCCGATAGGAAAGGGTTTGACTTTCTGGGTTTTTGTCTGTCTCTCCTACATTCTGTAATTACTGTCCTCTCCTTCACACTTCAAAAACAAAGTCCCCCCGCCCTCTGAATCACCCCTTCTTTTGTTTTAATTGCATAGAAACATAAACTCCTCCTTTCATTCCTTTCCAGTCACGGATTGGTTCCATAATTGCATGTTTAGTTGACTAGTTGGAAGGCATTATTTGAGAACTTGTCCTGACTCATCTCATGACCTACAGTAACCTTGTCATGAACCAAACTTCCCTCCTTGCTCAGTGATGTAACAAATGCATATGACTGCTAAAGGGATGTCACATTACCTCCCATTCTCCGGGAGAAAATAGCAACACAACAAAAACTCAGATTGTTATCTGTTATGTTGACTACAGAACTGTGCCAGAGTCGAACAAAGCAAACAATTCAAACACAAAATCTGAGTGGGTATTAAATTTAAAAGTACCCAAACAAAGAAAAGAGTTGTGTGGGGGTTTTATGCTAATTGGTGCAATTCCTTTAAATGGTAAACACTCATATTTTGAGCATTGCTCAGAATTTTTCCAGACTAAACAAAAAAATAAAAAGAAAAGTGAGTTTTGTGCTATGAAGTAAAGTCGTCACACGACATGCTGCGAAGCTGCATACGCATTTCTCATGTTACGTTATCTAACCCCTTCCCCTCTTGATAACGATGCAGACCCCCTCGCTCAGGACTGCGACCGGCGGTTAAATTTATCTTAGTCAGACAGACGATCAAGTGCTACGTGTCTCCACCTCGCGGAGCAGAGCTTGACGGCCATGTTTAGAATATCACTCATGGTGTCGGTGATGTCGGTTTCAGATTTGTTGTGACAAATGATAGCTTTTCAGAATGTGGATGTGAACGTCTTAATTTCACTGCTCGTGTTTTGAGTAGCAGCGCCGTACTTTACATGTGACACAGAGACATTTAAGGTTTCCTGAAGGAAGAAAGGGGCACAAAATCAGAGGTGGGTCGAGTACCCAAAGGTTGTACTCAAGTAGCACTACTTTAACATATGTTTACTCAAGTAAAAGTAAAAATGAGCCATACAAGAAGTTACTCTAATGAGAGTAAATAAGTATTTTGTAAAAAGGCTACTTGAGTACTGAGTAGCTGATCACAACATATGATTTAATGTTTTAAAATGATGTCGTCAGGCTAACAAAAAATGAAGAAAATTAATACAAATAAATAATATAATTGCACAAATAACAAATTCCAGCTCTCTCAAAGTCAAATTTTCTGGTTAAAACCTGTTTGTCCATCATTCGGTGAAGTTACTTATGGTAGGTTCAGAAATTTCACTCAAGTAAGAGTAGTGATACTTCATAATAATATGACTCAAGTAAAGTAAAAAGTATGGTGTAGTAAAACTACTCCTAAAAGTATTTTTTTCAAAATGTTACTCAAGTAAATGTAACTAAGCACCTTTTGTACAAAACACATGGTGACACTTGAGGTTGTGTGTTTGTGTGTGTAACACACACACACACAACACACACACACACACACACACACACACACACAGCTGTGTCCAGCTATACACATAGGGACATTCCCTTGATTTCCATTAATTTCCACAGCCTAACCCTGACCACTACCTCAACTCACAAACTGTGTTTCCATCCAATTTTAATTTTGAGCAAAATTTTTAAATTTTGCAAAAAGGAAAAAAAAAAAAAAGAAATGCGAATCAGATGTCTTTCCATCAACTGGTTTGAAGCGAATCAACCAGGCTAAGC